TTATCAGAGGGAGTGGATGGTTCCCCGACTTTCTCTTTTCCCTTTCTAGAAGAAGTCTCCTTTGGAGTAGTGCTGGCCTGATCGTGATCAGTTCCAGAGGAATATTGAGAATATTTTCGCACAAGGCTTTCTTCAGTGTGAAAGCCGTTATCTCTTAGACATTGACGAAGGACCGATGCATAAGCATTACTTCTTTTCAAACTTTCATAAGTATTCCACACAAGTTTTATGCTACTGAAGCGAAAGTCAGTTTTACCGGTGGTTTTGGGTGGCGACGATCGTTGTGGTGGTGACGCTTCTGAAGAGTTTTGTTGTTGGTCCGATTCTGTGTCTGATAACTCCATGTACTCTGCTGGTGCTGAAGACTTTGAATCTTTGTTGAGAATACGCGAAAATAGTCTTTTGAAAGGCATATTGAATCACAGGGTCGAAAAGATTTGATCTTGGAGAAGGAGGAGGAGTAGACTCTGAGTGTCGTGATGGTCTAGAGTGAAAAAGGGTTTCGTGCTGATAGGGTTTTATAAAAAGAGGAGGTTTTGGAAAGAAAGACCCCTTTTAGAAAATACAATAAGTGATTCTATTATATAGGAAGGAAATATAATATTTTAAGCATAAACAATCACGACAATATTTTAAGCACAAACAATCAATCAAATAAATTAGAATAAATACCTTATTTGCTTCCGAAAGTATCAAATACAAAAATATCCTGCTAGAAATGCCAAAAATATACCTACCAAAATTTGAATTAAGGACGTACCTTTCTTTGTGAGTCTGAAAAGGACATTCAGACTGAGAACATTTGAGTCTGAAAAATTCCTGTCCAACAAATACTTCAAGAAAATGGATAAGTAATGCACAGTTTATTTTTAATATACTCAAATGAAGACTTATCAAGAGGTTTTGTGAATATATCAGCTAATTGATTCTTAGAATCAATGAATTGAATATTCACATCACCATTCTGAACATGATCTCTAATGAAGTGGTGCTTGATTTCAATATGCTTAGCACGTGAATAAAGAATTGGGTTCTTGGTCAAATTGATAGCACTTGTGTTGTCACATTTGATTGCAACACTTGAATCTTCAATAGCAAAGTCTCGCAACTGTTGTTTCATCCACAGAATCTGTGCACAGCAACTTCCCAAAGCCACATATTCTGCTTCTGCTGTAGAAAGTGCAACTGTATTTTGCTTTTTTAAGTACCAGAACACCAACATATTCCCAAGTAGTTGATATGTTCCTGTAGTACTTTTCCTGTCCACTTTACATCCAGCTAAATCAGCATCAAAAAAACCAGTAAGAGTAAAATCTGAATCTTTAGAATACCAAAGACCTATCATTGGATAAGTTCCAATGTATTTGATTATTCTTTTAACTGCAAAAAGATGTGATTCTTTTGAGTCAGATTGAAATCTTACACACATACAGACACTAAACAATATGTCAGGTCTAGATGCAGTAAGTTATAACAATGATCCTATCATACTTCTATATACCTTCTGATCAACCTTTTTACCATTTTTATCTTTGTCCAGTTTGGATGAAAAACATAGGAATATCTGTTTCTTGCAATTCTGCAATCCAAATTTCTTGACAATCTCCTTAGCATACTTCTCTTGACAAATGAATGTACCATCTTTGGTTTGTTTCACTTGTAGGCCGAGAAAGAATGTCAATTCGCCCATCGGTCCTTTGTCAATGTCTAAGAGATAACGGCTTTCACACTGAAGAAAGCCTTGTGCGAAAATATTCTCAATATTCCTCTGGAACTGATCACGATCAGGCCAGCACTACTCCAAAGGAGACTTCTTCTAGAAAGGGAAAAGAGAAAGTTGGGGAACCATCCACTCCCTCTGATAAGAAATCCGTTCGCATAAGCCCTAAGTCTACCAGTGCATCTAAATTTGTGATTCCTGATGATGATGCTAGATTCTTTGATAATTTTGAGATGAAGGTTGGAATTGCATCTGGTGTGCAAGGTAATGGAGGTTTATTCAAAAGTACTGAGCACAATGTCTACTATCAGTTATTACTTGCTAGAGGAGTTATGAATCATCGAAGTGTGGATTTTGAATATCTTGAAAAGGTTGGCATTTCTGTGAAACATCTGTATGAAAGATTGGGGATTTATGAAATCCGTCTGCAATCTGCACATGTATATGCAGAACTGACTGCCTATTTTTATTCAAATCTCTCTATTTTGTCACCAAATTGGCTTCAATTCACTGTTGGTGATAAAAAAGTATGATTTGAAAGCGAAAGATCTGGCTCTGATTATTGAAGCGAAAAATTACAAGTTTACTCCATTGGAAGTGAGCCTAGAAGATGCTTCCAAAGCGACTTCAGAGAATCAGAATTTTGCTCAAGGCTCTAAACGCCATATTTCATATTATGATCTGACTAGAAGAACTGTGATCTTGCATAAGATCATTATCAATTGCTTGAAGCCTAAAGCAGCTTCCAAAACTGACTTATCCAAGTCTGAAATCAAGCTTATTTAGGCCATTCTGAATGGACAATCTTTCTCTCTTCCACACATCATCATCTTCCACATGTACAGAACTCTGCAAAAGGACAATGGACAGCTTCCATATGGTGCACTCATCACTCGAATCTTAATGTTTTTAAGGATAACTATTCCCGATGAGTTGTACAAAACCTTTGTACCTTATATGTTTGTTGGAGAAAAATTGCTTACTAAGATGAAGCATTTTGATGATAAAAAGGAAAGAGCAAGCATAGCCAGAGGAAAGGATGCTCAGCAGTCAGCAGCAAAATCTGTTGAGAAGAAAAATGACAGAGACAAAGGGGAAAGAAAAACAACAGGAACAGAAAGCAAGTAGACTCTCTTCAAGCCCACTCAAAGTGTACATGAAGAAAAGAAGAATTCTTCTCCAAGATGAAGATGATGAAACAGAGCACCTTGAAATAGGACAGAATGTTGGTCCAGAACATGTTTCAGAACCTACTAAAAAGGTTTCAGAACTAGCATCTGGAGACTCACATCTACATCAACAGGATGATATTCCACAGAAGACAGATGTAAGTAAATCTCCATTTTATCCTGAAGAAACTGTGAATGACACTACTGCTGCAAAACATGCAGATATTCAGGGGGAGATTCCAACAGAAGCAGGAGATAAGTTCGAACAGCATGGACCAGAAAATATTCAGGGACAGACTTCAGAAAACATGACCATTCTGACCCTTTTGCTAGAAATCAAAGAAAAGCAAGCTGCACTTGAAGAGGACGTAAAGAACCTTCAGAAAATTGTTGAGGAAAACAATCAGACTCAACGTCATCAAGCAGAAAAAGACAAGGCATAATTAAGGAAAGCTATAGCTCTATGTTCTACAAATATGGAACAGGCTGTGGGTCAATATTCTATTAAGATTGAAGAAGCTGTTTCTATTCTGGAAAACTTTCAACTTGTTCGAACCCCATCAAAGAAATAACCTGTTTTTCATACCCTCTTTTTCAACCATTCTTGATCTGTATTCTTAACAATTGACTTTGTTAGATTGTTTGAATACTTTATATAAGTACTTTATTCTTCTTATTATCGATTTATTCTTTTTGCTGATGACAAAAAGGGGGAGAGATTATGCAGTTATTGTCGTACTAACACTTCAATATGCAGGTTATACAGGTTATACTAAATGGAAGAGAAACACACAGACCTTACGAGTTTGCACATTTATATATTTGTGTTTCATGGGCTTAATATGATTATTTTCTTCAAATTTATTTGACATTGATTGAATCTGCATGAAAGTTTTGTCACCATAAAAAAGGGGAAGATTATTTAGGAAAACTCCTAATGGATTTTGAAGCTGACAAAACTCTCTATGTGAAACTGACATGCATTCCATTTCAGGTTAATATATTCTGAAACTTCAGAAGCAAATATCAGACTTTACAAATTTCTCAGAACTAAAAGTTCAGACTCAGATATAAGATCTTTAGACTTTACCATAAAAGTCATTCAGACTCTTATTATGAAATATTCAGATTTTACTAAAGACCTACACTGACTCAAGTTCTGAATTAAAAATTCTTCAGATGCAGTAATTATGCAGACGCAGACACTGAAATTTTTCAGACGCTGAAGTTTTTCAGACGCAGAAGCAAAACTCATTCAGAAGGTATCACAACAGCTAGTGATCTGGTATGGATTTCACAGAAGGAAAGTTTTGACTGTCTCAATCAAAATCTATAATTGATTGACAATCAAATACTATAACAAGTATGCATTACAACGGATAAAACTTTACTTATGAAAACCAAGATTCTGATTATATGGGCGACCAGAATCAGCGGGATTCAGATTTTGTCAACCAACGGCTACTCAATCCATTTTATACAAGTCTGTCCAAGATGAAGATTAGAAGATGATCCTCTGAAGACTGTCCAACGGCTAGTTTGGTAGTGGAGGAGTATAAAAGGAGATCTACGAGGAGCAGAAGGAAGTACGAAATCAAGAATCAACAAGTCCAAAGTCTGAGTATACTCCGATCCTTTTTCTTGTCTTTCTTAAGCCAAATATTAAGATCTTGAGGGACATTTTGTAAAAGTGATTGTGTGAGATAGAGAGTCCTATCATACACAAGAGTGTTATCACTCAGAATCTGTAATTCCTCTTGATTACATAGTGAAATCCAGCCAGTAGGCTGTCAGCGTGGGAGAGTGGACGTAGGCTTGCTATAAGTCGAACTACTATCAACTTGTATGCAGTTTTTCTATCCCTTATCTTTTACTTTACATACTGCACATCAAGAGCATTGTCTATATAAACTGTTTTGAATCTGAATTTTATTCAGACTCAACTGTGATCATTCATTTCCGCTTAAATTGATAAAAATTGTTTAAGATCACCTATTCACCCCTCTCTAGGTGATCCTTGCTAGCTACATCACTATTGACATGCCTGCTATCAAATGGACCTTTGGCGGTAAGATGAAGAGTTGCATAGCTATTTGGCTAAGGAGTTCCACCTTGTATTCTCGATGAGGAGTCTCCTTGCATGGCTCGTTGGCTGCACTCTCATGCTTGAGTGACAAGAAAATCTCCAATAACCACCGCCTAAGAGAAGAAGAAGACCAATATCGACAATAATTTTGTACTACTGTAGTCAAAAACTGCTACACATAGCTTGCACTTACTTGCACAGAGATGACTCACTAGATGGATAGCGTGCCCCTTTGGCAGAGGTACCTTGTTTCCTTCCCGCGGTTCCAAGATTAACCTCATGCAACCCAGACTTGTTCCAACATAATGAATACCTGAAATTAAATACTATTGTGTAATAAAAAATCTAGCAGATGTGAGTTATATCAGCTTAAAAAAGAAGAAAGTTGAACTCACCCACATGTTAGAGTTGTAGCAGCACTCTCACAATGCTGGAATTCCAATGGAGGCATTGGGCCGACCAAGAACAATGGCTGCTAAGAGGATACAAAATTTCAGTCATCCCCACTCAATATTAATTTGCCAATAAACACTAAATAAGTACACACCTTGTTCAATCGAGAGGGACTTAATTGCTCTTGTGGAAAGCATGATGTTCTTTCATATAGAGCATGCTGCGGCTTATTCTGCACCAACATGTCTTCAGGATTATCTGGAGACCGTCCAACTATCAAAGAAGACAGGTAAACTAGTTCGAGGAAGTAGGAAAGCAAAGAACCTGAAGGGAGAGAAATGAGAATGCTACCAAGTAAAAGCAGTCATTATACCTAATGGTCAATCTATGTAGAACAATGATATCACGAAAAGACACACGGGAGACCAAGAAAAGAGGAAAATCCAAAAAGTAGCGGGAGGTTGATTATGTTTCATTATGCTATAAGCCTATAAGCAGCCAGCCGTAGCTTCCGATGATTCATAGACAGAAGGAACAAACCTTGAACACCAACAATGTTCCATCTTGCTATCTTATCTGAGCAAGAGACTGACAATGTAGTATCACCACATCCAGGCTTTCTCCGAATAGAGGCAATGATTGGTAAGTCATCTCCTGGAAACATGAACAAATTTACGGAGAGAGAGAGAGAGAGAGAATTAGTGAGGAGATTCAATTCCAAAGCTGCATCACTTGTCAAAGAAAAGTTACATGATGTCATTTTCTCACAAGCTATTGTGCGATAAAGTTGTAAATTGGTAATATGTAAAGTTCACTTCTCAATTCAACAGTTCGAACAACAGAAAAAAAATAACTAATGATCCGCGTTGTCAATACATGAATTTACAGAGAAAGGTACACATATAAGAATTCTTTTAGCAATTTACTAAAATGACAACCAGGGAAAACCAATATGTAAGAATTCTTTTCCTTTTTGGTCTACTCTAATTTGATCCTACGTCTTAACCCGGCTCCCTCTTAACCCCCCACAAAAAAGCAGCATACACACACAGGATCATTTTGTGTTCATTTGTAGCTAAAATATAAACTTTGGGCATCTCAGCATCAAATGTAACATGTGATAGAATCGTGATGAACAAAAATCGTTCCGGCACATTAGAAAACCAGAGCAAGATGCTGCATGAGAATGAATCGTCCAGATAATTCACTAACAGGAGGGACCCAAAAAGAACAGAAGATCCTAGAAATGTTAATCAGCCAAGGAGCTTAAATCTTCCATTACCATGTTTCCTCAATGTATCCACTGAAACCCCTCCTTCTGTGTCTTTCACCTTTGATGGTACCTCGACTTCCTCTTCTTCTATCATTGCAGATATTTTATGAGGCAACAGGGAGGGGGTAGAAGCGACTCCACCTACGTATGCGACACAAAGGTTTATAAGCATATAAAACTCAACTGCATTGTCGCCTGTTGAAGTGATGAATTATCCAACAACATAGTCAATGAATTGTTTCATGACAGATAGAAAAAGAAAGAGTCCCAGCACCATAACATAACATAGTAGGGGAAACACTGAGCTATTTCCAGGAATTACATGGCAACTGCGATATGTACAGATGTAATTGCCAACCCACCCTCATTCTGTACTTCCCCTCGCCGTGGCCTTCTAGGATCGGCTCAAGCGGGGATCTACGATCACAAACATCGCCGTCACATTGAAATGGATTGCTTCCATGGTCTTTTCCATCATTACCGTAAGACATTTTAAGTCGTTGGATCTCAGCATACAAGTACCTGGTTCGAAATGAACTCACGTCTTAGAAGTCACCAAAAAAATGCAAAAAAAGGAGAAGTGAGCGGCAAGAGCAAACTAGCGATGAACAGGACCTCATCAGAGCTCTCCGCGCGATGATTTCAGCATGAGAATCGTTCACGACGTCGCCATGGAGGCTCCGCAAAGAACGCCCGATGCACTTCGTCCCCGTTCCGAGCGAAACCACTTCCAGTTCTGAGAGAGAGGCTCACGAGACAAAACAGAATCATGCTCCATCCTATCAGAACCAACAAACGAATCGAAGCAACAGACTCGAGCTCGATCGACAGGAAAACGCGGGGAGAGAGAGCGGGAGAGAGGAGAACCTCGAGAAGGAGAGGAGGAGGGGAAGGCGGCGAGGCCGGTGACCTCGCGCCCCTGAGGCTTCCCTTTCTTCGGCAGAGCCCGGTAGCGAGATAGGACCTTCTCGGAGGCCCTCTCCGCGAAGGCGCCGCCGCCGCTCGCCGGAGCGGACGGGGCGCTCGCTTCGCCGGGCGAGCTCATCGGCAGGCTTCCGCCTCAGATCACTGGAAGGCGAGAGCCCGAGAGAGTTGCGAAACGACGAAATGATGGAGGGAGACTAGTGTCTCGTTCTGCTCGTGCGGACGCTGCTTTGAAGTAATGGGCCGGTTCTGCTCTCAAATTTGGGCCCAAAACCGGTGAAAGTTATGGACCACTAGGCCCATAATCAGATTTTAATGGACCTATGAGATCCACACCCTCAGCGTCGTGCTTTCCCCATCCTCCGACCACGCCTCTGATCGACGGGTTACAAATTGTGAACGCGATCTTCGCATGAACTTAACGAAAATTAAATATGTGTAGTGTCCATAATCGAAACTTACCGATCAACGAAATGACATGACCCTACAAAGTATATATCTGATTTATGCGCTTAAAACTTCGTAAAAAGCTAGAAGACCCGATCGGCTGTAGTCGATCTTCAGCTATAGTCGAGGCCCTAGCGTTTATTGCGGGCTCTCTTCCAAGCCCATGGGAGCTACAGGCCGTGATTGAAGATTGCAAGCAACGCTTAGCCCTGTCCAAGTCGATAGAAGCGGCCCACTATCCGAGAGAGGCTAACCAGATTGCGGATTGATTGCAAAAACCCAACGTCAAAACCACGTTCGCTTTTATGGGAATTTTTATGTTCAAAAACTCATGTTTTCTTTTTGTGACGTTAGTTGAATGAAATGGCCTTTTTTCCGACAAAAGAAAAAAATTCAAAGTTTGAGAGGCAAGAGCCCAATCGAGCTCGAGCTCAACGGCCGGTTTAACATGCTCGATGTCATTAATTACGACAACGAATTGCTTTTGCTTTCTAATCCTTTTCGATAAGAAAACCCAAATCCAATCCACCCCTTCCCTTCAATAGGCAACCATTACAAGCAATCACGTTAGGGATAACCACCCAATAACCATTAACGGGGACACTCAGCATCGGCTGCGTTTGGAAACACTTTGGGGGAAAGTTTTTGGGAAAATACAAAGGACTTTAAGTTAAAGGAGTTTTTCAAAATGCAAATTGTGTTTGGTAAGTTGTAACTTAAAAGTCCCTTGCAAAGTAACTTTAGGTAAAATAGTGTTTGGAAAAATTATATTTGCAAAGTAAATTTTTCATTTTTTATTAAAGGAAAGTTGAAACCCTTCGCCGGTTGGCGAAGGACGAGCGGCCGCTGGCAACCTAGATCTGGCGCCGGCGGCCGTCAGATCTAGGTTGTCGATGGCCCCGCCTGGGTTTTGCGACCCTCGTCGGGGGTCACTTGACCCCATGCGATTCTCGTTGATGGTCGCCAAAGGCTGCCTGAGGTCGTTCGACCTCAGACGACCACCGCGCGGCGCCAGATCTAGGTCGTCAGCGGCCCTCGAGGGTCGTCTAGGTCGCGCGACCTCAGGCGGCCCTCGCCTGGGTCGCGTGGCCCCTCACGGCGGTCATGCGAGCCCAAGCGACGGTCGCTAGGTTGCGTGACCATGCCGACCCCCCTCCGGCCGGTCGCCGTCGCCTCACAGCCACACTGCTGAGGTCTCAGCGAAGAAGAAGATAAACAGTATAGACGAGGTCAAAACCGGAAAATCAAAAAAAAGATAAGGGTAGTTTCGGAAGAAATTGTTTTTCACTTATTCGGCATTGTTGCTTGCCGAGAATGCCCAAATGCCAAGGCACCTCCAAAATTGCCTTGGGCTTTTGGCCTTTTGAAGGCCAACTTTGGCTCAATGAGGTTTCTAAAAAATCTTGCCAAGCACCAAAATTTAGCCCAAGGGACTTTGGCCATCCAAAGCCCCTCGGCAAAGCTAATTCCAAACGCAGCCATCATCAACTAAACTTTGCAAATGCGCAATCGCCAGGCCTAAATTCTAAAGCACGTCCGACCTCTTTATTCCAAAAGAAAGACACCACCTCGTAAACAATTACAAAGATTCGACCCCAAAAAAAAAAATATAACAATTACAAAGATTGCCGACCTAAAAAAAAATTACAAAGATTATAAAATTAAAATGGGGACAAAAATCGAGATCCTTTCACTTTTTGGCCGGGGGAAAAATCAACAAATCGGCAAAGGTGCCGGGTGGCATCTTTCTCCAGCTAAGAAAAAGGTCGTTATTTTAATTTATCTTATATTATTTTATTTTATCTTATTTTAATTATTCATTTTGCGCGATGATTTTGCCAGCTGGGGCCACCGCGTCCCGGAGAGACAGATGGGGACAACCACCGAAGACTACGTGGGCCCAACCCCCCACGTGGCTCGATTGTCATCATGTAGGCTACGAGCCACTCTCCCTAATTCTTGTATTCGGAGGGTTGCCAACTCGTTTCCCCTAATCGTCGATCGCTGTCGTTCGAGACTACTTGGGAGAAAGGACGTAAATGATCCAGTAACTTTGCTCGGTATCCAATGACATCTTTAAATTTCCAATTTCTTTCGTGCCATTCTCGTCTTACTCCTCAGCGTTCAATATAACCTGCTAAACTTTCAATTTATTCGATTTGATATCCTTGACTTTCCTTAACAAAATCAAATTAGTTTTTCGATACTATTCACAAATTTTCGTAAGCAAGCTATTGCCCGGATTTTACGATATCTTTTTCTTTCAATCCCATTTCTAAATTGATGGCATTACAAGTCAAGTTAGAATTCGGGAGTTAATTGTGTCACCATCATTTACATAAATGAGCTTTGGCTCAACGTGTAATATCGTCTCTGAACTTTTAATTTGTTCAATGTAATCCTTGAAATTTTGCTCAATGTACAACGCGGCCCCTTAACTTTTAATTTATTCAATGCTGAAACTAAATTGAACATGTACCAAAAATTCATGGATCACATTAAACATATTGATTGATTAAAGTTTGAGGTCCTTTTGTAATTTATTTGGGGGTGGGGGCGAGGAATGGTGCGCCGCTCGCCCATACGGGCGTGGGAGGCGAATCCCATTTGCCTTTGGGGCCTTAGCCAAATTTGTAAAAGCATTCAATTCATTCCAATGCAATTAATGGCAAAGTGGGACCAGGGGGAGCAGCCGTGTCCTTCACTGTTCGTATCCCTCAGCTAAACGGCGTCGCTTGGCACCCGACGTGCCGACACCATTTTACCCGTTTTACCTGTCGGCACTCGCGGCAAACACGACCCCACACCGATCGCCACTCGACGTCGACCGTCGGATCGCGAGCTCCCCTCCGATCCAACAGCCATCGTGCGTATTTCCATTTTGATTGGGGAAAACAGTTGTGTGGTATGCTCCCACAGTGGCACACGGTATGCGGTTTACTATAAAGAGGACGCTTTGAACACGGGCAATATCCTCATCAACCGGCGAGCCAAGCTCTGAGAGAGAGAGAGAGAGAGAGAGAAGAGAGAGAGAGAGATGGCAGAGGTGGCGGTGAAGATTGTGGAGACGGAGAAGCCTGTGGCTCCGGCGGTGGAGACCGCTGTCGCGGAGGAGGAGAAAGTCGGCGCTCCTCCTCCTCCTCCGCCGGAGGAGAAGGTTCAAGAATCCAACGCCATCGTAGTTGCCGAAAGTGAGTGAAAAAACACAAACGCACGCACACCCTGAATTTCTTGTTCAGTTCTTTTTCGTGGTCTTTGAGCGAATTCGACATCGCGACAGATGGGAGGTGAACGTGTCTATTGTGTAATTGCGATGACGATGTTCGTCGACCTTGTTTTTCTGTAGATGTGTTTGCGTTTTGTATTTTTCCGAAAATCGACCGCTGTTTCTTTTCGTGGAAACTTTATGAACGATGATCGTTTTGTTTCCACTCAACTTTTTCTTGGACAATGCGGACGGTTCGATTTCATGTGCAGCTCGGCGCGATGAGTTTCATGGATTCTTGGTGTGAGTTTAGGCAATGGCTCTTGGCTGCTGAAGTGAAGGTGAAGGGTCTTTTTGAGTTTAGAGAAAAAGAATCGGAAAAGAATTAGGAAAGGATAATGGGCGATGCTTTTTGACTTTTTGTCTTTGGCAATGTCATGGATTCGAAGATATAGGACTGGGGTCCAACTCCTGCTCCTGCTTTACCAAAGTTGGATACATAGTGATGTGCATACAATCATGCTTGCTTTCTTTCTTTCTCTTTCTCTGTGTATTTTCTTTTCTTTTCTTTTGTTCTTTGGGAACAAAATGATTGTTGCAAGAACACCAAACATAAGAATCTGAGGCCAATGTCCCGCGTTTGGTTTGTGTTAATGAAACTATTTACTTACCAGAAAAGAATGATCGTTGCGTTCACTGCTTCGGGATGGTACTCTTTGTTCCGGATATGGGACCTGATTACTTTGAAAGAGGTTGCAAAGTTCGAATCTGTGATCTAGAATTTAGATGACAATATTTGGGGAAAATAACAGGTGCTTGTTAAGTAACAATCAATGTACTTTCTGAATTTTTGAAAAGGTTAAGTTGTGTTTCTATGTTCTTAGGACAGCATTCTTGATGTTTGAAAAGGCTATCTTACTATAATTAGAAGACTTGAGCAAGTGCTCTGGGATAACCCATTATGTTGATACGGGTGTTAGCAAGATTAATTTCCTTTCTAGTTGTTGGATCACTAGAGCCCAGTCAAGCATGATACGAGTGACTTCTATGTGGTTCTTTCTGGCATTGATCTGGAGAAAATGGTTGAAGAAAAGAAAAATCGATAGAAGACATCTGCACCAAAACAGTATTTCTTTCACTAGCATCCAATTTTATCCTGTATCTCTCCTATTTTTCATTCTTGTTCTTTGTGACTTTTTGGAAGATGTATTCTTGTGGATCACTGTCCATGCTTAGCTGCTGTTTGGTTCTGTTTCAATTTTGACAGAGGCTCCAGATGCTGCAGCAAAGAAAATTTCTGGGGGATCAATTGACAGAGGTGAGACTTCAAAGGTTCTTCTTGGAAGGATTTTTCAGTAATCATGGTGTTGGACGACCATCTTAAATGTTTTCCGATTTTGAAACCAGCTTTCTGCAATTGTTTGAATTCGAATGAGCCTATAGCTTTCCTTGGTTTGAATTGCAGAATGGTGAAAGCTATTTTAGTTTGCCATTGGCTGGCAACAATCTGTAGTACAATACGAATGTCAACATTTATTTCACTGATCTATGTTATTGTTGTTTCAGACATCGCACTTGCCGAAGTTGAGAAAGAAAAGAAGATGTCATTTATCAAGGCATGGGAAGACAGTGAAAAATCAAAAGCAGAGAACAAGTAAGCTTGTCCAGAGTTTTTTCCGGCCCTCATTAGCATTGACAAGAGTTATAGATTGTGTTATTTTAAAAATGGAAACAGATGTTACAGATCATTGAGTTGCGGGGATTACTCGTCATGCATCTAAATCCTAAATGAACAATTATCAGCTACACTGGGAGTGGAGTAGTTAAAGAGAAAAATCATCACCCTTACCCAGCTAGGCTTCAGGATCAATATAATCAATTGCTTTCCTGTGCAGCGTGTCCCAACTGCCAAGTACTTGACAAGTTGGCATGAAAGAGAGAAGTTATTTGAAATGTGAAACGCAACCATGTTGTAATTGCAAGAGATACTGAAGACATCTTTTGACTTAAATCTTGTTTTATGAAGGAGGAAATTTGTATTTGCAAGTTGCTACGATATGCCTGAATTGTACTGCATGACCACGAATCTTCTCAGTAATTTGAATGGTCATGCACTGTACACTCTAGCTCGCAATAGGAAGAAACTAAAGTGATTTTCTGAGCTTTATTTGATGCTAATCATACTGGTTTTAACACTTATATCAGAATTTGCTTAAAATGTTGAACAGGGCCCAGAAAAAATTGTCAGCTGTTGCTTCCTGGGAAAACAGCAAGAAGGCAGCTGCCGAAGCAAAATTGAGGAAAATGGAGGTATTTTTAAAAGTTTCTTAAGTTTTGCCATGGCAGATTTTTCCCGTGTTATCTTGGGCCATTCCTCTCGAAATTTTTGTAACTAAATGGAGTTCTCAAATTTCTCCCCTATATTACACGCAAAGATTGCCATGAACCATTGAGCAATGTAGGTCTTGATATTTGTCCCGCTTCACATGCATGAGATGTATGAACAAAGTTGCAGTCTTGCAGATGCAATGCCTGACAATATAATGTCTTGCAGGAACAACTAGAGAAGAAAAAGGCTGAATATGCAGAGAAAATGAAGAACAAGATCGGTCTAATCCACAGGGAAGCGGAAGAAAAGAAGGCAATGGTTGAAGCTAGACGAAAGGAAGAGATTCTTAAGGCAGAAGAAATGGCTGCAAAGCACCGTGCTACCGGGTACGTCCCGAAGAAGCTCGTCGGGTGCTTTTGAAGGCAGTTTTGAACCATAGCAAGAAAGGGTGAAATGATTTTTTAGTTCCTGTGTGTCCATTCACAGTTTGTTGAGTGTGTATAGTTAAAAAAAATCAGAATGTTCATTTTCCACCAGTTGTAGCAGCCATATGTTTTGGTAAGGAATAAGCCTTATAGTCTTATAGGACCACTTGGGAATTGTTTGAAAATCTCGCCTTGTTTGGATGTCGAGAATTCCTGTATAGATAGACGGCTTCATCTACTTGTTATGTTCAAGACATAAATTCAGCGGAATGATGTAGAAGAGCTCGAATCTTCACATGTCTTTCAAGAAACTTCCCATGGCGATCGCGTGATTGGGGCTTGGTCTGATGGTTGATTCTGCCATCATCTGGAACGAGTCCTCACAAGAGTATATTGCATGAGAATAATAGATGGAACGAGGGGATCAGAAGGGTTAAGCTTAAGGACAAATCATCATTGTAGGCAGAAGAAAATTGACCCAGAAGACGCAATCAGCTACCAGATATTGAGAAAACTGAACCAACTTCAACAAGACTTTAATCTGTCTGGCTCAAATAAAAAAAGAAATACGAGGACTTTAATCTGTACTAAACTAGAATTGTGCAAGCTAGCTCACATCTGCAATACAATGAACGAAAAGGGGTTCCATTGCAACTTGCATAAAAAACCAGCAGATCAGCTCTTTGAAAAGAGGCTTACTACATCAAATATACTTGATATGGGATTCTTTGCTTTACTAATTTGGATGCCAAAATCAGATTAAAAGTTCAACTAAAGAGGCTTCAGATTCAGAATATATAGAATGTATTCAGACAAGATTACCAAGGGAACGATCATGGAGGTTTGGTTCTTGTGAAATAGAACAACACACCGGGTCTATTAGGCGCTTCCTTCCAAGAAGCTCATGTCATTGTTGATTGGGAAATCAAATAGCATTTCCAGTGCAGTGACTGTCGAACTGTTGAACTCGCTAGAGCCAGATAATTCAGACGTGGCCAGGGCTTCATACTCTGCCTCACTGCTCTTTCCATCTGCATTGTTCTCATGATCAGTTGGTGTTGAATCTGCATCTGCTCCGAGACATGCGGCGCCAATCCCTGTGGTGGAAGCTGAGCTTGTTTCACATTTAGCACAGGAAGAAGTTTGAGAAACCGGGCTGAGGCTCACACTTTTGCTTCTGCTATTGATGGTTCGAAACGACTCCCCTACTTCAGAATTCCAAATACGCAAGAAACAGTCCAGATCGGTTTTTCGTCGCCGCGGCAGTGGATTAAGCAGCAAAGTCTCCCTGGCGGGCCCAGCCTCGGCTTCAAGCCTCGCGCTCTCCCACTGAACCATATGTCGGGTAATAGGAGATGCAGGCAATTTTGTCATGGCCCCTTGAGGGGTCAATGGTGCCTGGGTTAGCTGGTCAAGACCCATGTGGAGCAGACGCTTCTTCAGGTGGGTGTTCCACAAGTTTTTGATCTCATTGTCGGTTCGTCCGGGTAATTGAGCAGCAATTGCTGCCCACCTGAAATTCATAAATCATACATGTCATGGAAGAAAAACAGCAATATGTCAAAGAGCACGCAAGCACAACTAGGGAAAGAGAAAAATCACTGGCCATCGACAAACATACTATAATCTCTTGGCATGACAACATTGCTTCCTACTCTTCATAAGACGTTAGCGTGTTGATAAGACGCTAATAATCACAAAATTACCTGTTTCCGAGAATACCGTGGAGCTGTATGACAAGCTGTTCCTCCTGCAGAGAAAAAGGACCACGCTTAATGTCTGGCCTCAGATAGTTTGTCCACCTGAGCCGGCAACTCTTTCCACACCGAAGAAGACCTAGCAAACGTAGAGCTTTAGTGTGTACATGGAAAAGGTTTCATATCTCACATGCTCACTCTTGCATCTGGTGAATTTTCTTAGCCCTACAGCAGATAAATATGCCCCAACGTAGAGTGAGCCAAATCAAGCAGAACATGGACTGAACTGATCTTAGAATGCAATTACTTGCTCATGGCACGAAAACTGAAGTAAAAAACCGAAAGCATGCACTAAACTTTATATGTGATTCATGTCTAAGTGCGTACAATATTATCAACCTCAGCAAGAATATAAGTGGCAGTTCAACCTTTTGTTAACTACCAAAATATTTTTTCATGCACAGGACACAAATGTACATGAACAGAACTACAAGCATATGGTTCTTGGAAGCAGAAATGTGATTCTCACTACATCTCCATAATGTTGTCTGGAAATTTTTTTACTTAGAAGCAAATGATGCTCGTAATGGCAATAAAGGAAAGGGAACATAAATAAGTTTTTTACCCGCGAGCTTAGGAAGAGCACGCCAGCTTCCATGGCCATTCTTGCTGATGTAATCAATCAGAAGCTGATCTTCTTCAGGACTCCATGGCCCTTTCTTCAAGTCCTTCCTCTCGCAACATGGACTCCTACCCATCTCTCCAAATGCTTATCCAAACTAAAAAATGAAACTAGAGGATAGTACAGGAAGTGAGCAAAGTAAGGCAGCAGGTGACAGGGCTAGACTTTATCTATTCTAACTATAAAAATATCAAAAAGTACAAAAACACAGAAGAAGATTATGTAACTTGTGGAGGTGGAGGGACTATATCAGCGGTCCTCAAGCCGTGCATGCATTTAATGTAACTTGTGTCTGGCCCCGTCACATCCGCAGGAAATGGTGATGAATTGGATCATCATTTGACCAAAGAAGATATCACCGAGCTGTGAAAATATTAAGTGCATTCAATATACCAAGTAGGATTTACGATAAACCATACACTCTAATTGTGTCCATATCGGGCCCACCTGTAAGAGGTGGGCCCGATATGGACACGTGTAGGGTTAAAATCCTACGTGATATATTGAATGCACTTAATATTTTCTCGAGCCATAGAGAGAGAGAAGGAAGGGGCAATGAATGTGCAAGCTCTGAGAAACACAGAAGAGGCATGAGAGAGAAGCTACAGAAAGTGGAGAGAGAAAGATGCAATGGAGATGATCCTGAATGCATTAATGGCGGATACTTACAAAGATGAAGGACAAAGAGGGACATGAGGATGGAGAAAGAGAGAGAGAGATTTTATTGTCATGAGTCATGACAACGATGACTCTGCACTAAAGTTTTCTTTTAATGCTAAACAGAGACAAAATAATTTCAAATTTTGGCATGTACAACTTTACGTGATCATGAGCCATCTTTGGTGATCATATTTATCTCTTTTTTATTTTATTTTTTTTGCCATAATATAAGATAGACACATGAAACATTGCAGGATCACTTGATCAATTTATCCACCAAGTCTTGTTAAGATTTTGTCCTTAGCCTATTCAACAATTACAATTTGCCTATAATCAAGCAGTCAAATGTTCACACTTATTGCGTCTCTTCAATATAGATTGGACTACTTCACACCTAACTAAAAAAAATAGACATTTTACTCGATATATTTCTTCGCGATATGATTAAGGTTGCTCTCTTAGCACCAAAAAGATTACATATTTTGTAAAATTATAGAGTAAATCACACAAGACTCCCCCAGACTTTGAAGTCAGTACATGTCTCCCCTCTGAACTTTTTATTTTCTTATAAACAATCAAATTATCGACACGAAAGAGTCCCAGTTCCGGTCACTGAGATTTTGGTGGAATCACTGCCGACTGTTCTAAAAGCTTAAGCTGTTAGATGAAGGCGTGATTTAATATTTAATTATTTTAACACTTCCCCTCACGCTTAATCTGGTATTTTTTGCCTAATACTAAGCGTGGACATATTTAATTGAGAAGGCAAATGAGACCTGGCAAGATTTGAACTTAGGACCTCCAGCTCTGATACCATGTGAGATTTTGGTGAGACCACTGCTGACCGTTCTAAAAACTTAAGCTGTTAGATGAATACGTGATATAATATTTAATTATTTTAACAGTGGTCAATCATAAACCGCGTTTTGCCCCGAGTTATAGATCCCTAACAAGGGTGTGATCTTCGGTGCAGGTCAACTATGAGAATATTCAGCTGCAAAGTGCGTGTCTGATTTCTAGATGGAGTCCGATAGACAATTGAACTCCTCGTTGACAATAGGGAAAGCTCGGGTTTTTGGTAACATAAGATGGATGCATCAGTTTGGCTGAAAAGGAGAATCGGCCAATAAAGCAGAGTAGGGTAGGTCCATCATCCCCAAATTTGGAGGAAGAGAAGATAACTGAAATATAGTCACAAAGCTGGTACGACGAAGACACACACAGTCCCATCCAAATCCTCTCTCATGAAATATCAGCATCTACCATTAGTAATACTGGTTACAGCTCACTTTCATCTAACAGTAAGACATCCCAGGAGCAAGTTTCAAGAACCGGCAACTCCGACCCCCGTTTTAGAGGCCGGAAGCCACTGATTAGGGGCAGGCAAACAAATAATCAAGCAAGACAAGAAAACCAACAATCACAACTTGGTCAGGTCGGATACATAATCAAATACAAAGAAAGGGGACAACTATTCTAGAAGATTGAGTTCACCTACTAATAATAGTAACAGAAGAAAGTGAAGGTAGGACTTTTGGTACACTATCTAAGTTATCGAGGTCCATTTGCTATCTAGTGACCCCGAGAAATGTTAGAAAGCATTGATCAAGAGCTTCTTCCCCCCTCTACGCTTTCATGCGGTCATCATGTTGAACTGAAACCTTGAGAGCTGCTGTGGTATGGTGGAGATAACTGGTCCATATCTCTGCCAACAAAAAGTGCGTGAACCTCCATGCAGCATGTATTAGATGTGTAGACATAGACGTACTTGGTAGATAGGATGATAAAAAAACCAGCTCTCTGCCCCGCTACTCTAACATCATATTTGGCAATTCCATTCGAGTTCTTTCAGGTCTTGGGACAAATTCTGAGAATTTTTACTGTGCCCTGGGAATCTAGACAATTTCAAATCAAGCTACCAGAATGACCAGATGGACTACTAAAAAAGTAAAGTAACTAGGGTTCGACAATAATTAAAACAATAAATTGTGTTCTTTGTTTCTTTTTCCCTAAATTCCATATGCTCTCTACCTCATCACTGCTCCCCCTCAAGGTCTCACTCACCTCTTCATCTCCCGGAACAGTCTCACCACCAGCCACCCCGGAAACACCCATAATGGTAGCTACCGCCTACAGCAGGCACAGATGGCTGCCACTAAGCTCTATTTTTTCTCTCCCCCTTAGAGACACACACACTTGACAAAGGAGAAAAAGAAAAAGAAAATCCTAAATCCTTGATGTTTCTATTTCTCCTCTCACCTGTAGACTTGCTCTACAAGCAACCTAAAACTGAACTTTTAGAATTGCATTTTATTGATGAGAAAATGTAGATGATTAAGAATGAACGAAAAAAAGAATGGAGCTTTAGAAGCTTAGATGTCACCATACATGCACATTGTCGTATAGCTCAAACAACGGAACGGCTAGCAATTTCAAGTTCTTCGGTACAGCAAAATATTCTCTTTCAGACAAATGGACGATGAAGAGCTTCTTGCACTCCTGTATCAAAGAACTCTTTACTCAGTGCTCGGAGGGTTATAATACTTGTTTAAAGAAAAAGTTTTGAACAAAGTATGTACGACTTGGTTTTTGAACAGTATTTATTTACCTTCGGCTTCGTTATGTGGGGAGGGCAGTATGGATACATAACAGTTTCAAAGTTTGGTCTCCACCAGATAGCAACACACTCACCAATCTGCAAAAAAGACAACTGACAATAAAATAATCTGCTTCCAGAAGGGGAATTGTGTCCACAATTATGTTCATTTAGATAAGCAGACTGTTATACAAGTTTTGTATTCTTCACACTTATCAACATGAATCCACTCTATACGCTTCCCTTTAGGCGTTTCTGAAATTGGTTTAGAAAGATGATATAGCAAGAAAATGAGAATATGCGCTTTAAGTGCCGGGCGATATTTTGTAACGATAAAAAAACACGGAGGATATTATATTCATTAAAGAAGCTAATGTACTTGTTGAAACACATAATCATTACAAATTATAATTCAATCTTCCCAACAATTAGGCATTTTACTTCTTTTAAGTACACTCGGTCGTAGCATGGAAAGATTTTTCAATAACTCCGTTTCGATTATCCTTGAATATACTCCCACTTATAGTGTCAAGCTTACTCAAATAAATCTCCAGACTTCTCAGGTATGATAGGGCACCTGCCAATTGGGTTGCAGTGACAGTGAATTTGCACCTAATTTGCTTGATAGTTTCCTTTTCAAACCTTCAATCTCTGCAAAGATAGACAGACAGATGAGAGAGAGAGAGAGAGAGAGAGAGAGAGAAGGGGGAGGGGGGGAAGGGTTAAAAGATGAATCAGTCTACCATTTTCTCCTGGTTTCAAACGTCCTCCTGGAAGTTTACAAAATGTGTTCCCAATTTGCAGGAGGAGAATATGGGGATGCCTGTGCTCCTGCACCTGCCCAATTAAAGAGAAGTACTTGAAAATGAGAGGCTGAAGCGTGACAGCTTCTTTTCACCATACTTGGTAAACCATTACCACCACCAAGAACAAGATGCTCAGAAAAAGCAGAAAGCACCACTGCATCACATCTAAATAGCTAAATGACATGCTCAAAATTGCGGAGGTGTGCATGAAATAAGGGAACTTAAAGCCCTCACAGAAAAATACAAAGGGGATCAGAACTTGAAGATGCTGGGTGGTTTCCCAGTTCATTAAAACAATCGAATTTGAACCACATATGCTGACATACAGCCAAAGATCTTCACCCACTTATCGAGAATATGTTGTTATATCGACTAATAAAGATGCTACTTGAAATTTGGGGAAAACTAACTCCTTGCCTTGTGTCAAGGATATGCTAAAATAATAATAATAATAATTCACACGATAGGATAAAATTCATAAGTGTTTTTTCGCCCACTGATTGAGCAGATTCCAGAAATTTCCAGTTGATGAAAATTTACAATCAAAATATCATTTTCAAGACAAGCTAATGATCGGAGAATGTGAAGCGTGGTAATTAGCCAACATCCACCGACTCAAAAGCGAGATGCGCCGCAAGAACAGACGCAGACGCATGCACACATGTGAAAACGCGCACATCCTCGTATACGCATACACAGACGTGCCCACATGCGCAGGTGCACACCCACACAAATAGCGTGCACAAACATATGCATATGAGAGAGAGCGAGAGAATAGGCACTGAGCAAGGGAGTGTCACACTTAAAAGTTTCAAAGACTAACCAGCAGAATGCCTTCAACACTGGTCCTCATTCCCTCTTTCATGTAGCTGCAGACTAGAAACAATTAGCTACGTGCTTGCCCATTGCAATAAAAAAAATGGGAAAAGGAAAAGAGACATCATATTGGTCAAACAAAATCAACCTTGATAACATCGTGGTTCATGCTATTTGTAAACAAATCATAATCTTTACCACATAGCTAGACTGAAAGCCTCAAATTTAGTTGGCAAAGCGGTGCCCAAAGCTGCTCCGCGGCTTCAACGTTTAATACGAACACATTATTGAACTCTACAGCAGCAGGTACAAGCATCAAGAACCAAGCCAAGGTCAACTACGAACTAGAGGGCACATGAAATTACAAACAA